ATATCGACTTGCTCGCACAACTGTGGCCCTTCTTCTGAGTACATCATGTTCCTTTGCCTGTTGCTTTGTTCTGGTTGCGACCAATGCATACGATGATATGAATTGTCCAAAACCAGAAAAAATCATCCGTCGATGGAACGAAATGTACTCAGAAGAAGGGCCACAGTTGTGCGAGCAAGTCGATATTCAATTTCCAAATGTCTATCGTATTGTCTTATCATCATTCGATGAATTAGGCGAAATTATGGATAATACGGGTTTTGGTATCGATCACAATTTAATTGCTCGAATTTATCTCGGTGCAGATTGTAGTTATCTGGAAAATCTTCCGAAATCGACCTCTGAAGATCAGATTCGGCAAGCAATCAGCAATGCCATTGGACAAATAGAACTCATCCCCAAATCAGATCTTTACATTCAGCTGAATAAGCAAACTAATAACGTTTGTTTGATTGCTTCCAATATGGCTCGAAAGTTGGCTACAAAACCCATCTATCTTGGACAGCAGTCAGTCATAACGACGGAGAGCCTCACTCTTTGTGTACTTATTCATTTCGATCCTAGGACATGTGATGAGGATACCATTATTCGACACAGTATGTTCAATGGTAAAGCGCGACTTAAAAAACGTCGTGAAGACAGTTTGATTGTTGAAATAATGGACAAGAAAGTACTTAATGAATGTGTCAAGAGTAGAGTTCTACGTGTTGGCGAACAAGTATTTCATTTGGAGATCTATACTTCATCTAGCGATCCAGAGGAGTGCGAAATTGATGCTGACACTTGGTACAAAGGAGACATGCTTCGATACAAGGCAGACATCATGAAATTTGTTCCTGATCGTCAGCACAAGATTTTTCGTCTCAAATGGAACGCAAAGAACTGGCTGGATGAATTTCGACGTGTACGAGATACCAATCTGAACGCCAGAAACAATGATGATTCGGGACAGATTGGAAATATAACACTTGATCAGATGCGACATCGACTTCGAGTGACTGTTATGCTCAATACGATCGGAGCGATATATAAGAAGGCTTACATGATCGGAGATCGAGAAGTCAAATTGAATTTAGATCTCAACATGAAAACGATCATCTACAATAATGAGTCAAAGCTGGCATTAGGAGGACCAATGATATTGAAGAAACCTCCTTACGATAGAACTAAAGTCTCAGTAGTCAATAAAGATTGTATCCTTGTTTACGAAGACTTAGTGAAGAAACGGAAAAATCCGCTTCTTTTGAATATGGCCAATGCAAGCAGTTCAGGTGGTGGTTATCGACAAGGTGATGGAGCACAAGAAGAGAATCTCTTCCGACGATCGGACTATGTAAGAAGTCTCGATGTTGGTCTTGACCAATATGTCGACGATTCATCTGAACGATCGAATTGTACGTCGACATGCGATCTCGATTCTTCATTCGATTCGCGCAACATGTATCCGATGGATGTATATGGTGCTATTTATACATCAGGCTTAACTTTTTTTCGTCGAGCAGAAGACGAAGGCTATGCTTTTATGGAAGAGCCATTGACAGGAGTCTGTTCATTGGCTATGGCTGCATATCGAGATCCGAAATTAGATGAAAACATGTTGGCACCGAAATTTGCTGTTGGAACACGAAAGAAAATAGAAAATATTTTTTCGATTGGCTATCATCACAAACATGATTCTCTTGTTTTATCAGCTCTCGGTTGCGGTGCCTTCAGAAATCCGCCCGAACATGTTGCGAAAATCTTTCGCTCAGTTATTGAACAATATGCAGGATTTTTTGAATTGATTATTTTTGCTATTATTGATGATCATAATACAGGACAAGCTTTGAATAAGAAAGGCAATTTTCAACCATTTTATGAGGAGTTAAATGATAAAATACTGAAACCATACCCACTGACCAATCAAGCAAATACAATATTCGGTCCTTATCGTTTTTCATTAGACAGTGTAACTGTACACGATATTTCGATATGCGATTTAGTGCCATGTAATTTTGGAGCCAAATGTAACCAAATGTATGATTCGCAACATGCTGCTGATTATTCTCATCCATCTGTGTGTATTCAACAGTCATTACATGGGTCGTGCGCACAAACAGATGATGTTGTTCACATGTCATCATTTATTCATTCGAAACCATGTACACACGGTGCGAAATGCTCAGATATTGACAACAAGGAACATGCCCGAATATTCGAACATCCGTCGTTTTGTCCAAGCGGAGGCACCTGTCAAGATACAAGTGATACTCATGAGAAAGAATATCGACATTTGCCATTATGCACACATGGTCACAGATGTCTGAATTTTAAAAAAGGTAGTCAAGCTCATTGTAATTCATTTCGTCATTATATGCCTGCTTGTCAACATGGGCAATATTGTGTTGGTTTTCATAATAAAGATCATATGAGTAACTACAAACACTCATTTCCTACTCCATGTCCTTGGACTCCATATAATTGTCGACTCCACAATGAATTGACACAAACCTCGAATATTGGAAAGGTGTCACAAGTTACTCATCAACACTGTGTTGATTATGCTCATGTATGTCCGTTTGGTCGCAATTGTAATAATCCAAATTCATGGCATCGGGAAAAATTGATTCACGTTGCTCGTATGCCATGTAAGTTTGGCGATGGATGCAATAGACTCAATCAAGAAGATCATCTGAATTCATTTACGCATCCAAAAATTCGCGATATACGTATTGCATGTAAACATGCTGACAAATGTCATGAAAGACAAGATCGAAATCATATATCGAAATATCGTCATTCAATGACGTTTAAAGATAGTGGAGTGGTTGGATACTTTAATTTAAATAAAGATTTAGATTTTGTACAAAATCAAAATAGCAATATCCAACGCGTTTTAGATTACGCTGAGAAGAAAAACTGGAAACAGTTCACTCTGAAGTCTATTCCAACAGAGATCATCGATTGGCTAGAGACTGTTCAACCTGTTCATCGTTGTAAGCTGGAAATATTCGAGTCGATCATTCTTCACGGTCATGTTATGAGTCTTGATTACATGGATAATTTAAGCAAACCAAAATTCGTCGCGAATTCAATACTTCAGCATAGTCAAATTCGACGAATCGAACGTTTAAAAATATCACAATGTGCAGACAATGCCAGGGAATATATAACTGCCTTAGTTAGTGATATTTATGAGAAAGCCGGATTTTTAAAAAGATATGCGGGTGATGTTACTGAATCGTTTACAACACACGCTGACGATAATGCCCGTTTGGCGGACCGTGCCAAATTGATCAAACAAAAAGAACGTGCGCTCTCAGCTCAACTTAAAAACCAGGAAGATATGGAAACGATTCGTGTAAAAACAAAAGAAATAGCTGAGGGTTCCATTAAATTAAATTCGAACAAGTCTGGCATCGGTTATTCCGTCGATAAAAAGTTGGGAACCAACAAAGCTGTTTTTAGTATATTGGGCCCTCATACGGGTCACCACTATGGAGATGTGGTTCTCATTTTCAAACGTGAAATTCTTCATCATCCTGATGCAAACTTTTCCCTTCAAGCAGCGACCTCATATTTCAGTGGAAATTGTTACGAATGGCGTCCATGGTTTGGTACTGCTCCAAATCCGAAAGTGGAGTCGACACAGATTGACTTATTTCACAAAACTAAATTGCATCCTTCTGTACCTGGATATGAATATGCGACCGCTCTCGAACTGATCGCCATAACAAGTCACAAGATGAACAAAACACCAGCAGAAATCGATCTTGATAAAGTTATTCAACGATGGCTCACTGTTGATTCTCATGAAGTTATCGAAGCTCACCTGCCTCCACTCATTCCATTAGATTATATTGAACAGATTTATATGCCACAAAGTATATACAAGGCACTTAGCGAAAATACTCATAATATAGTCGATGATCTGTTCAAAGGTTGTCTTACACTCTCAGATAAAGAATCTAAAGATTATAACAAATTTGTTGTCGAACAACTCAATAAACGATTTCGTCCAGGTGATCCTCATTCAGTGTCTCGACCCACACATGGTGCTATCTTGACAATACCGTCAACGAACTTCAATGATCATTATGTTTTACCTTTGACCATTTCGCAAGCGGAAGAACAATATCGTCACGGTCATCCACACATTACAAGAGAAAGTACGATTTACATCTACTGGCAGCTGATGAATGGGGACATGATGCTAACACTATCTGCTAAACCTATTGATGCAGACGAAACCAATGCAAAGAATTCCTGTTTAATTTGTTATGTTGCTCCAAAGCCATCGTTTGACGCATCAGATGACGTAGAATATCACGAACAAACATCATATTTGAATAGCGGTCAACCTTATGAACATTCAGTGTTTGTTAGTGAAAAAAAATTCGCAGGAAAATCCAATGAATTCTATATGGGATGTAATACCGATGATCTTATGACTCTCTGTCTGGAAATTCAACGTGCAACCGGAGTAGTCAATCTTTCTCACGCTGGCCCTAATGCCATCTACAATCATCAAAAGATTTCCTGGAAATTTTCCAAAACAGAACTCGATACAGAGAAGTTAGAATTTATTCATGTTAGCGCCGGAAATGGAACTGTACCCATTCGAAATTTGATCATTACATTCGAGAAACAAGAAGATTTATACCCAACATTGGATCCAGATTTCATCAAGGGTACTTCGTACATGACCGAAAAAACATCACCGGAAACAAGAATTGATAGGACACAAATGCATCATCCTACACAAGATGATCAAAGCGTAGCATCATATGGCCTTGTCACTCAATTTCTGAACAGAGTCAGTCAAATAAAGGGTATAGTATTTGGTGCTGGTGACAGTTCATCATTGAAACCGTGTCCCGAGGGGATTAATTGTCTCATTCAGTTCTCAGACAATGCAAAAACACACAATTCACAATATTCGCATCCATGTCGTTATGCTGAGCTCTGTCGAAATCCAGAACCTAATCTAACGCATCCTCGAGCACCTCGTGGACTTCCCCATTGTTCTTCTGATACAAATTGCAAACAGCTTTGCGATCCGATGCATCGGGCTCATTTTTGTCACACCGATTTACCGTTCTATCTGATTCCTTGCCGACGACAAAAAAGTTGTAACGACAATTCAGAAGGTCATCGAAAGAAATACTCACATAGCGAAGAAGGTTTAGAAGAAATTGGCAAGGAGACATTCGAGGGTAGAGTAGACTATTTTTGTCTGAAAATATTTTTTCATTTTCACTTTTCATACAAAGTTGTAACTACTCAATCGACGCAGCATCGACAAAAAGCACAGAAACACACTATTGTTCCCGCTACAAGTGTACCATGTAAATGGGGTTCAAGATGTCGTGATGCAGCAGATGCAAAACATTGTGAAAAATACTCTCATCCTCCTGATACAGAGAAAAATGATAATCGAATTCCTTGCAAATGGGGTATCCAGTGTTATGATCATAAATCCGATCACCGAACAAAATATTCCCATTCATCAGCTTGAAAATAACAAGATGAACGGTCAGGCACGACAATGATCATTAAACAAGAAAGAAAAACACTTTTATGTTTTGAATGAGAACATACTTTTCCTGTTTAGACTTTCTTTTGCTCAGATTAATTCAATGTGAATTTCATATCTTACTCTGCTACTTTCAATGGGGCAGAACAACATTTCGAATAAAATATGATGATTTCAAATAGTGTCTCACAGAGAAATACAATGGCAGAGAAGTTGAATAGCTGGCCAACTCGTCTAAAAAATCATGTGATATCCTTTTCCTTGACTTAAAAATAGTAAAAAGCAGCCGTTTCTTTTGATATATTGCTTATTTTCTTTTGTCGAAGCTTCTTTTAATTAGTTATATTTATGAAAAATCCGAGAGACAAAATCATATAATTTGATTTTTCTGTGAATTCATAGACAATGATCGGAAAATCCAGCAAATAGATTCTAAACATTCGATAGTAACTATAGCAACTAAGAAGACATCTGAACTACCCTTAATCTCATTGAGAGCTACCATCACAATGAATATGGAGTCTTCACTTCAGAGAGATTTGTGGATACTCTCTTATCAGCTTGGCTTGATGAGAATCGAATGAAAAAAAAAATTAAAATGATGATCACAGAAGATGGTTGAATGAACAAGTTATGCTTTAGAATTTTCTCTTTCTTTTTCAGATCTGTTAGAATTTAGTGATTGCTCGTTAGTCGATTCGCTTTTTATAGCTAATTCATTGTGATTATTGGGATAGCGGCGAGCAACAGACCGACGTTATCATACGAAGAACATTATAACTGGAATTGCCTTAAATATTTGAATTGCGTGTCGTATTTTTTAGGCCAAGAAGACCGTTTACATTATTATGGATGCAACACCGACATGTGCCGATACCCATCTCGATAAGAAAAACTGTTGGCGGTGCAAACAATGTTCGATCAAAAATGAACAGTCATCATCGCGGTGTACTTCATGCGGAGCACGAGGATTTCCATCACGTAATGCGAATGCATCAAACCAACACATCACCACTTTCATCAAAGAGGAAGATCGAGAATTAGTACCGTCGAGTAGAGATCAAGAAAACGTTTCCTACAAGTCTTCAACAGCAACAGCCAAAAGTAATGCTTTCGAGCGTCATTCACGAGTGATTATTTCATTCCCCATGTCGTGAGAATCACCGCGATTTTCGCGATTTGCTAAAAAATTGGCGTAAAATCGTGATTTATCGTATTTCTTTAAAAGATCAACGATTATATCAGATTTTATCGCGATTATGGGAGAAGAGCTGATTTTCAAAAATCATTGATAAATCATGACAATTATTCATTCACCGTTTTGTTATGAACACACACGGATATATAAACAACGCCGTTCAATGCATAACAAATAAGATTTCGAAATATACTTTTCTGATAAATTATTTCTTGGTTATTTTTAATCAAGGAAATGCCAATCCCGATCCATGATCTGGAGAGGACTACACTGAAGCGGCCTGATAAGAATCGGACCAGCTCGAGATCGGACAGATCGCACGATCTGATCGGCTTGGATCTTGAGAACAAAAAAAAATTGAATTAAATTCAAGAAAAAATCCAAATATGTGTCTCCAAAAGAACCAATGAAACAGTAGAAAATATCAGTAAACAGACGGTTAAATCTTGCATAAAATCACGATTTATCGTAAAAATCGCTGAAATAATCGGGAATAATCGGCGATAATATCGCGATTCAGCTCACGATTATCGTTTCGATGAATCGGGATTAATCGGCAATTTTTAGCCGATTCAAAGGACATGGGTCTTCTCCTCTAAATGAAGAACTAATCTGTCTGATTTGGCTTTGTTTCTACGAGGTTTGCTGGTAATAATGATACTCTTCAATTAGAATAGGATCTTTTTCTGAACGATAAAATAGATCAAATTGCTTATTTATTTTCAAACATGTGGAGAAATGAGATTCAACTGTTTGAATTACTGATTGATTAGATACTGAAGATAAAATTTCCTCGTTTTTGTGCACATTGATAGTGCCCTTTTGTCTATTATTGGACAATGCACATCTAAATACGCTTTTGTACCCATGATATCCTACTAAAACAATATTAAGAATGACCCCTTGTTCTGAAATACGTAGATAGTTTCAATCATTCTGTGAACTTCTTCATTTCTTGTAGTGTACCCTAGTATTGATCCATCAACAGCAACCACGTATGATGCAATCGCTCTTGAGTGTTATGATTCACTTTATGAGAAAAGATCGAATCAAGCCGAACAGGAACAGAGACCACGAGAATTGCTCGATACAAACAACACAATCGGTATGGAATATCCACCGTCACCAGAAAAAGGATTATGCATGGTAATGTCAGCTTCGTCATACCAGCTAGAATCTGCATCGAACCGAGAATACGAAACCATGGTCTACATTCCTGATTTACCTTTAGACATCGAGAATAATAATGAACTAGAATATAGACTTCGACATCGTTTGTCAATAGTCCTTAAAATCGAGCCAATCGATGTAAAATGTTATTCGAATTTTGGCATCGGTTATTGTCGTGTCAGAAACAATGAAGAAAAAGAACATTTAGTCAAAGCAGTTGGCAAAGTAGCATGGGATGTAGGAGAAGAATCAGTTATGATTTCATTTAGAGATACTATCGAATTGGTTTCATATATTGTCTTCGAAAGAACGAAGGAAAATAAGGACATTGATTCTCTTACAGTGGACAAAATCGTCCGTCGATGGATTGAAAACTACAATGCAGAAATGCCGCTCTTTTGTGGTCAATTGAATAGTCAATATCCTAACATCTATCTTTTCAAAACTAAATCAATCGATGAATTATTACGTGTCACATCGAAACCTGGATTGGTAGTAGTGGATCAATTAGCTCAAGTTTATCCATGTGCGTATTGTAGCTATTTGGAAGATCTTCCAGCATTGACAACTGAGAATCAGTTACGAGACTTGATATGCAATGCTATCGCATCAACCACAATCTCATCTTCTTCTCTTTCTATTCAACTGAACAAAAAGATGAACAATGCATGTATTATTGCGACGAATAAGGCACGTAAATGGGCTAAAAAGGATTCGATCTATATTGATTATCAATTTATACGAAAGAGAAAAACTCTCAGTTATCGTCTACTACTTCGTCCGGTTCATGAAAAAGATGATGCTGACGCCATTGTTCGTCACCAGATATTTGCTGGAAAAGCGAAAATCCTCTATCATCTGGGACAAAATTTGATTTTCAAAATCTATGACAAGAATATTTACGATGATTGCTTGAATTACACAACACTCAAGATTGGCAAAGACATCAATGTCAGCATGGTGAATTATACTGGTAGGCCTAATCCAAATGCGACTGATATTGATGGTCACACATGGTATGACAAAGATATGCTTCAATGTGAATCGAACATCATGCCATTCATTACACAGCCTGATCACAAGATCTTTCGTTTGAAATGGGATGCACAGATTTGGCTTGAACAATTCAAACGTATTGATACATTGGAGAGACAAGGATCAAGAACTGACCATGATGAAGAAAAGCCAGTTCATACTTGGGCTAATGAGATGCGTCATCGACTTCGGGTAACTGTTATGCTCAATACTTTTGCTGCTATACGAAATAGGAGCTATACTATCGATGACAATGAAATTCAGTTGAATTTGAATGGTAAACAAAAGACCGTCGTCTACAATCATAAATCAAAG